TTATGACGAGTAATTAATTACAAGAATCACCTATGTGAGTGTGAACTGGGCCGGTTCCATAAGATTTGTGAAGGGCTACAAATCTTTAGAGCACTCATGATAGACCAGGTTGTTCAGGGCCAAAATGAACACAATAGTGAGAACTAAACTGTGTTTGGGAATTTACTGTGTGAGTTCTATTGTCTTGGTTTACACAAACGGCTGAACAGTTCAAGACATCATGTTCACTAGTTAGCTAGTAAATCCGATAGTGTCTCACAAGGGAAGGTTCAAAGCCAAAAGCTACCTATCCTTTGCAGAATATTACCAATTTCTGTACTCTCTGTATTTAGATCATGTTGTTGCATTTTCTCTCCGTCAAATTCCATTCATGTGGGGGACTGTTGGAAAAATGATTCATATAGGCTTATTTTGGGCCGACTTTGAGCCCAAAATTGAGTGGGCCCCAAATGTCTTTTGGGGCGGGTCCGAACAGGTGAAGTATTCCTTGCCGCATGGCAAGTCACACGGAGAAGATGGTTCGCCAAAACCATTTATGAGTGAAAGGGAACATGACGTCGTTTTTGGGTTCGTGGAATGGACATTTAAAGTTTTAAAGTGAGTTTCCTTGTGAGGCTTATCCCACATTGAAACTTTAAGAGAGTTTTGTTGAGTTTATAAACTTTAGCCTACAATACTTGGGTTGGGCCGCAAAGGGCACCCCAAGTTTGTAAAAGGGAGGAGTTATGGACAAAGTGAACCTTAGCCCAAACCATCACACGCGCGCCGCTGCCGCCGTCCGTCTGGCCGAGCCGGGTGTGGGTTGTGGGTCGGGTCGGTTCTAATATTAATTTATTTGAATTTTAAATGAAATTAAATTCAAAGTTTGTGCCAAATAATTGAATTAATTTTCTGTCCATATGTTTCATCTTCTAGTCCATTATTTTTGAACAGATTAATCAGTCCAAACAGAGCACCCTGACAGATTTGAATTCGAAACTGTCCAGGCAGTTTCAGAACAGGAATATAACTGCTACTGTTACCAGCAGTTAATTTGTTGAATCTGTTTGTTTTATAAACAACATCTGTTCAAATATAGTTGATACCTGTTCACTTCAAATTTGTACCTGTTTGGGTCTATATTGGAGACTTGTTCCTACAGATTGTGGTTGATAATAATACATCTAAAAATCTGTCCAGAGAACTGTTGAAATTCAGATAGATTCAAGATCTGTCCAGTTTTCATTTTCAATCTGTCTTAAAACAGTGGCATATCTGTTTGGCGGTTTACATACCTGTTGGGACAGAATTGATTGCCTATAAATTCAGACCATTTCCAGCAGTCTAAGGACCCGAAAATCAGTTTGCAAAATCCCATCTTTGCTGTCCAGATTTTATTCTGTGCATTATTCTTCATTTTTGTTTTAGAATAAATATTCAGAGTTAGAATACAGGTTTGGTTCGCCGAACAATTTGTTTTGGAGTGCTACCACAAATTGGTTAAGATCATTGTATCCTGGGAGATAGACGCCACTCAACCGTAAGTACCGTAGTGGGGCGAATCTGTCTTAAGGACAAAGTGTCACAAACTCGACTTGGTTTTTGAATTATTTATGCGGTTTTACAAAATAAATGCTGTAAGTTTTATTTTATTTTGTTTGAATTGCTTCAAATTATTTTATCTACACAGAAGATTGTCGAACAAACACATCCTTAGAGTATTAGATCAACTAGACAATAGTCGCGCTAGCAGTGGTGATGGGTAGTGATTAATATTAGTAGATGTTTGGCATATACTAAAAAAGTGTACTTTTTTTTGCATACATATATTTATTTGGATCACATCATTCAATATCTTCTCTTTACTTTTCTACTTGCTTTCTCTACTTTGTCACACATTTTTTTATTATAAAAAGTGAAAAAGTGTACTAATTTGGACATCCCAAACCACCCCTAAGTGTGTAAAGTAGGTACAGAAAGTACAAGAGTAAAAAGGGGAAAAAATTACTATTCAGTGATAATTTTTAAAACTTTTTACACATCCATGGAAATTTATAGTTTTAATCATTAATATTTATAAAATTTATCACTTTTTTATAATTATTTTTACAAAATATTACTGATTTGATATTTTCCCAAAGGGTGATGCTAAGGATCCCCAGTGACTAAGCACTCCCAGCCC